ATTTCATGGTAATTCTTCTGATGTCCTCTCCACTTTGGTATCACCACTTCTTAAATTTAACTACAGTACTAGATTGGTAGTTGGGTCCCAAGCAAGACGGTAATGCCTGTAGTACGCAGTGGCTTCATGGAGTGAATGTGAAAGAAAAGACAGAGAATAGGCAGGACTGAGAAAGGGACAAAATATGAAGGAGAAATAAGAAGACAGAAGATGGTTTCTGATGTTGCATTTAAATTTTTGAAGATTGTAGTTATCAGGGAACCAAGTAAACAGAAGGGAGCTCCACATGTAGGAAGTGCAAGAAAAGAAACTGTTGGAGTAGAAGTGGCAGTTGCATTTAGCTATTTCAATAGTAAACGGTTGGGACCTAAATGCCAATCTAGTAGCACACTTAAATTCATGTATTCGGAGCACCAAGGAAAAAAGATCATCCGAGCAGTTAGCATGAAAATATTTGTAGAACAGACAATGGGAAGCCACGTCACGTCACTGGGAACGTGACTGGACACGAGATGTCTAGTCAGGATCAATTGTATTGCAGACCCTTCTCTGGATTTTGTTAAGAATCTCGAGATGCACAGTAGGAGCTCCAGACCAGATATGGAAACAGTATTTAATGTAAGGTCGAATGGTAGATCTGTTGAAGTAGGTAAACAGAAAACATGCTAAATGTGACCGCAAATTCTCTGCTCCTAGTTTCTTCTCTTGCACTTCTCACTTGTGGAACTCTCTTCTAAATTCTTGACTGTTCAAAAGTTCTTGGTTGATATTAAATTTGATTCATATCTCAGGTATTACTTGACGTGAATCACATACCGCACAATTCAGAAGACATGCTAGCCTTGAAAATCATCTGGTATCCTTGTTCGAACACCGACCACTAATAACAGTAAGAAAAATGCAACACCGACTACAAGAATAAGAGATTTACAGTCCTCTGCTCTAATCATTGAGCTATCACATCCATATGCATGAATAATTTCTAAAGTTTAAAATCTGACTGGCCGCTCTTCTTTCTTTTCTGTGTGATGTTTGACGTTGGTTAATGAAGAATGGAAGCTAATTAATCATTATCCAGACAGACGGATGTGGTATTCTTGGAAGAAAGAAAACGATAAAAGAACAAAACCAGGAAGAATCCAATCGAGAAAAAAGTTTTATTACTGCTGAGAAGATTTTTAATTTCTTTCTCTTTTCAGTTAAAGAACTTCTTCCAGAACTAGAAAATTCTAATTTCTTTTCCTGTATGAAATTGCAAAAACGTTGGAAGATTTTAATGCTGTTTTCCAAAATGGTAAAACGCATTTTTTTCACGGAAAAAATCCATAAATTGAAACATTTGTCATTCACTGATCAAACAGCATTACTGTCAGCTGAATTTTATAAAATCTTTCTCATAAAACAGTTTTTCAGGAAAATTGTCTACTATTAATGTCCATTAATTGTTATTGATCTTTATAATGCCAACTGGAGCTTCCTTCCTAACCTTTAGTCTAAGATAGCAAGGAAAGCCAATAACTTGATCATGTCATTACTTTCTCTGCCAGTTACAAGTGCTTGTAGGAAATTCAGTCGTCCATTTTTTTTAACTACAGCTCTAACTGTGAAACAATTATAAAAAGTCTTTTCTTGATTATAGGTTTTTCTTTGAAGCAACTACCCAAAGACATTAACTCAGCTAAAGATTATTTATACGCCTTTTTTTAATTCATGTACATATGTTTGTAAATGCAAATGATTTATTTAACAGATATACCCATGTGTTCTTCATTTTTTTTTCTTTTATTCTTATTTGGAATTCGGACCTTGGATTTTTAATATAAAACCCTGGACGACCGAATTTCCTACATGCTATCTATAATTGTTATTGTTGCTCTTTGGAGTATTCAAGAGATGTGGTTTTGTTATTTGGTAAAGCTCTTTACATAGAGTCAGGAAAGAATTGTCTTCTCTAAGATCAAAAGATTCATTGGTTTGAAGGCATTTTTAACTATAGGGATACAAAAGGCGATTATCTCCCTTTGGTTGAAATAAGACGTCACTTCATACAGGGGTGAAAGTGCCCAGTCAGTTTATTTACAGCCGCCAAACTGAGTGGATGCTTTTTTAAACCTGGGTCGGGCTCGGTCTGTGGTTAAATCTACCTCCTCCAGCAAATGCGACAGCTTACTAGGCCATGGTGCCATTTCTTTTTGTGAATATATTTTTCCCAGATATAGAAAAAAAACCCTGACTCGCTGTCCTCAATTTGGGAATACCCAAAACTCACCGTCTCCACTTCATGGGTTGTCCTCCCTTAGATTAATCCGGTCCGTTTGAACCTGGAGTCCTAAATATGGCTTCTCTAGAAACATAGAAGTATTTCCATATTATATGTAAAACCCTTCTGTTTTGTTTCTTCTTACACTTCATTTTGCTGTTTAGATATATGTTATCTATTTTCTCTGAGTGGGACACGTGTATATATGTATATAGAGCTTTGTGTATGTATTTGTAGTAACAATGTCTCTTTGAGAAACAAAGCATGTTTTTCATCCCATTTCCTTTCAGCCATTCCGTCCCGTCCATGAATTACGGTGTTGTTATATCACAGATGTAATAATGCCCATAATGGGGGAAATACAAATGGAAGAAAAAAATTTTTTCCATGGATCACTTCCGTTATATAACTATTGATCTGAGAAAACAGTTGTTGATAGATGAGTATTATGATATTTTTGAACAAGTATAAAAGATCAATATGATTAAAGGTATTCTATTCAAAGTGTGTTGCAAAAGTATTCACATTATATGAAAAATATTCCTTTTTTTTTCCGAATAGGCCATTTTGTCCGTCCCGGTAAAATACACACCAAGGCTATTTTGCCGGTCTCGGTTGTTTTAGAACGAAGATATATATATATATATATATATATATATATATATATATATATATATCCGAATGTAATGGGAACGAAAATAATATATAAATTCTAACGTTCACAGCATTAACTAAAAAAAGGGTTCAATACCGATAGTAGAGCAATAATTAATTATTATAATTTTTTTCATATAGACAAAAACAATTTGCTCAATACAAACATGCAACTTCGTTTCGGTGCATTTAATTGCACTTCGACTGGCGAGAACCAAAATGCTTATGAACAATTCTGTTTGTAAAAAAGTCGCATTGTTCATAACCATTTTGGTTCTCAGCAGTCGAAGTGCAATTAAATGCACTTAAACGAAGTTGCATCTTTGTAGTGAGTAAATTGTTTTGTCTGTATGAAAAAAATCACAATATATATATATAACAGTAATCAATATTCATTCACTATAGCCATCTCAGTGTTGGTGATATTTTCAGTTCCTTTGTTGAACTAGAAGAAAAACTGAAAAGTTACCAGTTCAAGAGAACCATGCCCAAGTGCAAGTTTAGGAGTTGCAGAGAGAGTTATGCCTGAAGAGCTTATAATATGCAGAGACCTCCATATTTCTTTTTATAATTGATCATCAATAAATGAATTTAACTTGTGTCTTAAAAATTGATGCTGGAAAAGATTTTAAATTGCCTTAAAAATTGATGATAAAAATAACTAAACTTCTTGTGTTAAATCTGTGTGTTAATTTTTAACATTACCTGCCTTCATAATAATAAAAAATATCTACCGGTAAAATAGCCTGGACGTCGATTTTACCGAGACGGGCAAAATAGCCTCTTCCTTTTTTTTATTGAATTAGTCTGTATTAACTAGATTCATTTTCTAAGAAACTATTTTTGCATAAATAATGAAATATAATTATGAGTAATTTCTATATTTAGTGACTATCTTGTATTATTCAATACTCTCGAATCTATTTTGTTGCTTGTCCATTTCTTCCAATGAACTGGAATTTATGACCTTTCCATTCTTTCTGGCACAACGATTTAACACACTACAGCCAATGAATCAGACAGTTCTTAACTAATGCACTAATACTGTTGAACTAGTTAGAAGCAACCGCCACTTCTACTCTTATAGCTTCTTTTCTTGCCCTTCCCACCTGTGGAACTCCCGCTGAATTTCCTGCTTCTCTAATAACTACAATCTTCAATAAATCAAAGGCAACATCAATTGCCATCTTCTGTCTTCTTGAATCGTGTTCCTTTTTTGTCATAACCTCATCCCCACCCCATTCTCAGTCTTCCCATTCTCTTTTACTTTTATTCCCTGTAACACCCTCCGTTTTAGTGGCATTATTACCTTGCTTGGGGTGAAACTGTTAATATAAAGAAGATTGTAATAAATGCTGTGTAAATTGTATCTTTCTCCGTGAATTATAAGTTAATTAAGTTTTAATTGCGTATCCACTGAGTAGGGATAGTGTATCATGTTAATTTTCTATAAAAAAAGGTTCTTGTTCGAAGCTGGTTAATTATTAGAATATTTTAACAATAAGTCTTTTATAATTTCAGTCTGTCAAATTTGTTTGTTTTGCCAAATTTATATGCTTTTTTAAATGTTTTTCTTCACAGTCACATCTTAAAATTCCTTTCTATTGTTTATTCCAGGATCATTAGTTAAAAGCATAGCTGAAAAGATAAATAATAAACCTTTGGGAAGATTCTCAATGATGATCAACTGACATATAAACGTTATTGTCTTTGAGTTGTTATGACTTATCTTTATGAAGACAGACTCTTGATATTAAGAGAATGTGTTTGTGGCCTACGCACGCACACAAGAAGCAATGGATTGAATAAAGGATTCAGTTTGAAATTCCTGACACCTGATTGATTTGTTTTTTTACGGCTTATCAACCTTATAAACAGAAAATATTTTTAGATTGTAGAAGTTTTTAGAAATAATAATAATTTACTGCTACATGTCCTACCCATAACAAGGGGGGGGTAAAAAGGTGGGTTCATAACTTTCCCAAAGTTATTTGCGCGTAAGTCAATGTAACGAAGTAGAATTGGAACTTGGTTCTCTGATTTTCAATTCTGAGCCATTATCCATTACATCATCGGCACATTCAAGCTTACAGCACCTGGTCTTCCCAAGCAGTCAGCCATCTAGATACCGATCAGGCTTGACGTTGCTTAATGTCGGTGATCATACGAGAGTCGGTGTTTCAACGTGGTATGACCATAAACCGCCGACGCTTGAAGAAGGCTGAAGAGTAAAATGGCTGAAACGTTGCAAAAATCAACATGGGTATACTCTGAGTTGCAAAAAAAAGTATTCACACCATATAATATACGTCTATTTGAAAACACAGGTGGGAATTGCGAAAAAATAAACTGTTGGAGTACAAGTAGCGGTTGCATTTAGCTATTTCAACAGTAAAACAGTGGGGACCTAAATGCCAATCTAGTAGCACGCTTAAATTCCTGTAGTCGAGCCACAAGGGAAAAAAAGCTCGTCAGAGCAGTTGCCTTGAAAACATTTATAGAGGAAAACCACGTCACGTCGATGAGAAATTGACTGAAATCGATATACCAAGTCAGGATCGATTGCATTACACATTTTTCTTTGGATTTCATCAAGAATTTTGAGATGTACAGCAAGCACACCAGGCAGATAAAGCAACAGTATTCAATGCACAGACGAATGGTAGATTTATAAGCATGGAAGATGAATTCTGACGAGAAAGACTTTCTGGCATGCACAGTGACCCAACTTTCCTTGCATTAGATGCAGCTATTAAATCGATCTAATCGCGCCACTTCAAGTCCGTGGAAAACGTCAGGCCAAGAAGGCGCAGTGTGTTGTTCTCCTGCTGATGGCAAGCAGAAAAGGTTCTGTATTATAAATTAAACCAGTTTTGTTTTGAAGGCGTTAAAATATACAAGGTATCTTCTACGCCAGTTAACCACTGATTGGAGGTCTTTTTCAACGGCAGCGATCAGGTTTACTATGTCATATTTGACGGGTTTGCTGCAGACAAGAGTAAATGGTAGTGTCATCTGCATAAATGTCTAGTCGGGAACTGATGACATCAGAGAAATCATTGGTGATGGTCAGAAACAGCGTAGAATCCGGGATATGGCTTTCGGGGACACCCGTGTTCGAGTGAATGTATTTGGAAGCGAGTCGGTTCAGAACAATCTTCCTTTCACGATTTTATAGGAACGATCAGATTAAATCAAACATTCGCCGTGTAATACTGTAGCCCTGGAGTTTGCGTAGAAGGCAAGCATGCCAAACACCTTTGAGATATCTAGAGCCACAGCTCGATCTTCGCTTTTCTTATCCAAAGTTTGATGCACAAATTCAGTGATAAATTTGCGGTAGACCTGGCGAAACTGAGGCCATATTGATTGTCCGGAAAGAGATAGTATTTTCTATTAAATACGTTTTTTGTAGTACAAAATAGCCAGGAATAAACATAATTTATATGGCATTTTAATGTATATTTTAAAAGCTAAAAAACAACCAGTTTCGTCCCAGCCTTATCAAGTTTATTTCTGGGATATAAAAAATAAACAGAGGGAATGCTTACTGGGTCTGAATGTTATTGGACTCTAGCTTTCTTGAAATTAATATATTTCCCCCCTCCATTGATTATCATTAATATCAATTAAATTTACACGTTTATTTTTTTAAATTCCAGAAATAAACTTGATAAGGCTGGGACAAAACCGGTTGTTGTTTTTTTTAACTTTTAAAATATACATTAAAATGCCATATAAATTATGCTTATTTCTAGCTATTTTTTTTATTAAATAATAACGTCCGTAAAAAGGAAAAAAAAAAGTCGTGAACAAATATGTCCTGAATGAACAGACATTTAAAAATGTGAATTATTGATATTACATTACTATGACATCAAAATATTCCTTTGTTAACGACTGGGAAGGTTTGAAAAATATATTCTTATAAGCTGTGGGCTGAAACCATATGAATACACAACTGTTGGTGAAATTATCATGGTTGGAAAAAGTATTCACACCAAATGAAAAATATACTTTTATTCTCAAAGTAATATAACAAAGCACATACAGACTTATAAATTAAGTTTAGTTGGAAAGTTGTAGTGAGTACGAAATAATAATAACTCCCGAAGAAGAAGAAGAAGAAGAAGAAGAAGAAGAAGAAGAAGAAGAAGAAGAAGAAGAATTCGCGAGCCTATGTGAATTTATTTTAGAACCAATAAAAGTCTTGCCATCGCAGAAATTAGTCGGTCAACTGAGAAGAAAATGAAAAGAAAGTAGCGAGCCTATGCAAAATTTCTTCTGGTATAAAATTAGGAGAAAAATTAGATTAATTAGAGAAGAATGTCTGAAGTTTCGTTTCAGTTCCTCGCGACCTGCGTTGAAGTTCTCGCCAGGGTAAAATTATTCGCCAATTATATTATCGATTCCTAACCAAGCACGCAGCATTTCAAAAAATTTTCTTTTAACAATCCAAAAAAGCTAAGTATTCCAAACTATCTCTCTTTGTCTACTTTTGAATGTCTCCAACCGTATATTCTTTCAGCGATCAACAAACTCACTTACCTTTGTCTTAAACATTTTTTAATATTATTTTGTGTTAGATCATTTAATCTGTTGTATGAACATTTCCTCTTCATGATAATGCGTTAAAAATACGGACTTTAAGAATTCTGATTTATTTGCCTGAAACGATCTACTGACACTACATCAAGCATGTAAATTTGTGTTTAAATTCCTTGTTTTGTTAAAATTATCCGTGTGTTTTCTTGTCATTATCATCCTTTATTAAATGTTCTTGGCGTGGGTAAATCAACTATTTTAACCCCTAAATCCCACGCCACTATAAAATCATTAGAAGAATTCAAAACTTTATATTTCGATTTTGTGAAAATGTTAAAATAGTAAAGTCACGTAACGTTAATGAATTGCCTAATATTTTTATGGGTTGATTTATAACTTCAACTGAATTCGTAAGATTGTTTTCACGGTAAAAGTAACACTGCGAATGAACTGTGTTGGCGCCTGCATAAAAAAAAACCCCAAAAAACAAATATGAGATAACTCGTATTCAGCGCCATAATAAAAACTGCCAGCCACAAATGGTCTAAAGAGTACCAAGCAACGTTATTTTGTAATATCTCGTTAAAAAGTGTAAAATTTCTTATTTTTAAAAACAACGGTAAATTACTTCTATTTGATTCTGTTCTCAAATGTGCTTTTTGTAAGTGATGGGAATACTTTTGCAACAAATTTGTTGGTTTTCATAATCCTGCGTTAGTCACCTCAGATTTTCGAAAATGGATAGTCTCCCGGAGTGTATATATACCTTAATACAAAAATGCTTATAATGTTACAATTATGTAAAATATTGCGATAACACTAAAAAAAAAAAAAACATTACACTCAATTTCCGTTACAATAAACATTAAATCAAAACTTAAACTGAAAGTATAATTATTAACTGAAATGAAAATTATAATAAATTTGTTGCTTAAATATGTGTTGTAAATTGTAGATGAAAAACACCAATACAATAATAGAGAAAAGTTTTATTCATAGCCCGAATATATTATTTCCATGAATAGAAAGATATGAGCTAAAACTCATAATTACAGGACTGAAAAAAGTAATATAACATATGTTGCAGCAAAATTGTTCAAATCGTGTTATTGCATTATAGTCCATCCCACAAAAACAGTAAATTAAGTGACTTTCTTTTTTCCAGGTTTTCAGATAAGACGTTTAGCTATCTTGATACCATTTGTCGTAAGAATCACTGAAAAACATTTGAGTTATTCAGCTAAAAAGAAAACAGGTTAAAATCATTTTTTGTCAGCCTAACTATGTCTTCTCAACTGAGCAATGGTGAGAGGAAAAAGATCATTCAGATCTTCAGAAATGGTACCGACATGCATATTCTGGCTTCCATCTTCAAAGTTCATTCAAGAACCATCAAGAGAACAATGAATACGTTTAAAAAAGAGGGAACAGTAGACAGGAAAACTGGATCAGGGGGTCATCACAGGAAGAAGGATCATCATTTCAACTTAGAGCTAACTACATTCTTATTGTTCAAAATAGAGTTCAATAGTGTTATAAAAACCTCAGAGAATTCCAGTAAGATATCTTTAATCATTTCTAAGATACAACGGTTCAAAGCTTAATCTAACAATTGGACAATTTTGCTTCTAAACGATTTGGATAATTTTGCTGCTATACCCTGTGTGTGTGTGTGTGTGAGAGAGAGAGAGAGAGAGAGATCCGTCGGTCTCTAGAGATCATGGTTCTCCGCCCAAAGAGTTATGCTTCAGCTGCTAATTGCAATGCAGCATCTGTTATGACTGTACAGGCCCACACGGGAGTGAGAGTGTTGATTGTAATGAATGCATGTGAAGACGTCGTCTTGTTTTTTCTTTCTGTCAAGCACGCTTCTCCCTAATTGAAAGCCTTTGTTTCTCCTCTCCTCGATCCAGGCCTCAATGTAAATTGTGTCTCCAGCATGAGCAATTGTTGGCAACGTCTTCCCACCTCTATCCAGATATATATATATATATATATATATATATATATATATATATATATATAAAAAGATAGAAATCATGAAAACTTACCTTCATTAATCAGGCGGGTGGGTGACAAGACACTCTGAAAAAGAAAAGGCGATCTCTGCCTCCTACAAAAACTAAGCTACAACCTACAACCCTCACTTAGTCAGGAAAGTAGTGGGAGGAGGCAAAAGAAATAAGTTGCCAACTAGGAATTAGGAGTACTTAAAAGATTTGGGGTTACCAATGTGACTATGCAGGGTTAAGAGCACCATTTTTTATTAACTATTCTTTATTTCTGTTATATTATTTTCTTGTTTTTTTTTTTATCCCAACACTCAGACATTTAATCTCTCATTGTTAATATGCAGAGCAAAATGGAGATGAAGATGTGATACAGAGCAAAGAAATAAAAATTTAAAAAACACTAGGAAAAACTAATAATAACTGACAGAAAGTTCCTCTAACAAATTGAACTAATATTGCATGCATAAATATCAGAACATATCAATTGTTTTGGGATAATAAAGAATGGCTAGATTAGAGTTTCTTTAGCATGTAGATGCTTGTAGTCTAATTGATAAAGCAGCTGCACTGAACAAGCAAACATCCCCAAAAAAAGGGTTTCTAATTAAAATATCACTGGAGACTTGACAGTTGTTTTAATACT